TAATCTGTCTACAAATGCGTCCTCAGGAGGATGCAGCCCATGAATTTGGACACGACCAATGACACATGCACAAAAAATGTGCTTTGAGCTGAGATAACTAGAGAATTAATATTTTATGAAAAGAAGCTGAGGTAACAAATGAGAAATTTTTGCATTACTAATAAACTGAAAGTGTCCGCCCTGTTTATGTTTAGATTTCCCAGGAAGTGGACAGACGAAAGCATCTAGGTGTGACATCTGCTCAAAGAGCTGCTGCTATCAAAGATATTTACCGGCCTCTGCATCCTCATGTCTACCATCTCCAGGTAGTCACTGCATTAACCATCATCAGCATTGTGAATAATGAAACATTAACACCTTGATAAAACACATTTGCACTTCACTTCCCCTCAGGAGTCTTACCTTGCTTCAGAGTTCAAACAGATTGTTGAGTACTGTCAAAGCGACAGTGCCACCGAAGAAGGCCTCTTAGGCTTGTTGGAGGAACAAGTGGGTAAGCTGGGAAGTTCTTTCAACTCCTCAGAGACAGAGATTCAAATATGAAGTTGTTACATTTCCCTAAAAAGTCCAAGTGATGTGGGAGACTAACAAAAACTGTCTGAATTGAGAAAAGGGAGACATGGAGGCGAAATTGTTAAATTAAGGCTTTTATTAATATTGTTATTACAAATCCAACTAGAGAGATGGAGAAGTTGTTGTCACCTTTGAAAGAAAGGAGAAAATGGTAAGACCCAGGACTTGGTCACCAGATAGTAAGTTTAAAAAAAGGCTTTATCACCAGAAAGTAACACAGAGCCACAGCAAACACACCTCACAACCTGCAAGCCAAAATAAAAGGCTCTCTGGCATCAGAGTTCTCCTTTCTTTGGACTTATCTGGTTTAATTGCTGAGTAGATTCAGTTGTACCAAAAAAGGCAGCCCCTAAGGCGGAAGAGATGGCAGGACACACTCATACAGGGTCAAAGTCATGGCAGGCCCTGCTAGGGCCATAACAGACGTGATGGCTCAGTTTGAATGCTAAGCAATGATGTCTATTAATAGAACTACTGATTTATAACAAGTGGCGGAGAAGAAAAGGCTAGAATCACAGTGCCCGAAGTTTTACCACAGCTCAAGACAATCAAGACATTTTATTGTCATTAACTCCACAGCTTTATGCCACACAGAGCATCTTTAACTCATTCTCTCCTCTCTGTTGCAGCTCCAAGAGTGTATCGCTTTCCTTTATTTGACAAGAGCTTCTGTGAGGATCTTATGGAGGAGTTAAAGCACTTTGAGCAGTCTGCAGCCCCTAAAGGAAGACCCAACACAATGAACCAGTATGGGGTAATAAATTAAAGCCTTCTGAACCGCTGAAAACACTCTATACCATCTCCTTAACTGTGCAGTTGTGGCCAGATGTTTACATCTTTAATGACTCTAAAAACAAGATTTGGGGCCACAAGTTTGAATTATTATAGATTTTGTCTAATCTCACTGATGTCCAAGTGATCCATGCCAAATGTACCTTCATACCATCACTGATGCTGGCTTTTGGATTATGCGGTGATAAGCTGTTTGCTGTTTCTCCTTTTTAGCTTGGAGGATTCAGCATCCAAGATTTCCCACAATGCTGTCTCAGTCTCAAGTTACGCTTTATTTTTTTCTTTGTAGATACATTTTATATGGGGATTTAACCAAATACAAGCGGTTGGCAACCAACTGAGTTTAATTGCCTACTGCATTGAGATGCATCATAATCCATACTCATGAGTTATTTCCAAACCGCTGATCTCAGAGCGTCCAAATCAGGACACGTTTATTTGGAGACAGCAACCACTAGCAATCCGTGCAGTCAACAGTCACTTCAAGGCACTTTACAATATAAAGTGCCTTGAAACTCCTGTGAGCAAGCACTTGGAGACAGTGTGAAGGAAAAACTCCCTGTTAACCATAAGAAACGACCCAGGCTCAAGGAAGAGCCTTCTGCTGCAAACGAGTGGGGGTGATGGGAGGTTGGGGCTGTATGTTTAACTACTTGCCCAACCAAAAAAATAAATGCAATTATTTATTTTCTAATACTTCACCAAATTAGCTAAAAAAAAATCACAGGAATTTCTTTTTGTAAGCATTACTTGGATATGCTGTCTTTTGTAGGTATAACAATTTAAATGGACGGTTTAAATGATTTGGAAATTCCTGTATTTGTGCTTTTATTTACATTTCAGAGAGTGTCTCTACCTTTGTAGAAATAAAGCTGTATAAGTTGTCTTGTTGCTCTTCCTTGTATCTTCAGATTCTCCTTAATGAGCTGGGCTTTGACGAGCACTTCATCACACCTCTCCGTGAACAGTACTTGCTGCCACTCACCTCCCTGCTTTATCCAGACTGTGGGGGGTGCTGTCTGGATAGTCACAAGGCCTTTGTGGTCAAATATGACATGAATGAAGATCTGGACCTGAGCTACCACTATGACAATGCAGAAGTCACCCTGAATGTTTCACTGGGCAAGGAGTTCACTGAGGGCAACCTTTATTTTGGTGATATGAGACAGGTGATGCCCTGCTATGTTTTAATGTGTTGTTTATGATATGTTTTTCGTTTTTGTTGTGTACAACTAAAACATATAGATATAAAATAATTTTAAAATTATTTGATACAAAAGTATAATTAATAGTTTTTGCCCTCTCTGTAGGTTCCTGTAAGTGAGACGGAGTGCTCAGAGGTTGAACACAGGGTGACTGAGGGCCTCCTCCATCGGGGTCAACATATGCATGGTGCCTTACCCATCTCTTCTGGTCAGCGCTGGAACCTCATCATCTGGATGAGAGCCTCACAGGAACGAAATAAACAGTGCCCCATGTGCAACAGGACACCCACATTGGTGGAAGCGGAGGGCTTTGCTGATGGCTTCACAAAACACTCTGATCCACCACAGAACATCTCATGCGCGCTGACGTGATGCAACCAGTTCCTTTTGACTAAAGACTGCACTGGCTGATTATAGGAAGATGTTAAAGTGAACGAATTCTTATGAAGTAATATGACTCATTTGAAATTAGGATGATTATTTTATGAATATTAGTAATAGTCAATTCAGATTTATTTATATACAGCCAAATCACAACAATAGTTGCCTCAAGGTGCTTTATATAATAGAGAAAAGCCAAACAATCAGATGACCCCCTTCCCTGTGAATAACCCAATTGCGACAGTTGGGAGGAAAAACTCAGTTTGAACAGGAAGGAGGATTCTTGGGGAGGAGCAGCCGTCTGCTGTGAATAGTAATAATATTAATATTTGGCTCAGACATTTAGTGTAGTGTCCCGTTTTATAATATTTTCTTGAGATAATATTGCCACTCAGTGTTTTGGGTGAAGATTTCCAGTCATGGGATATTGCATTTTCAGAATCACCAATCAGATCTGATAAAACTGTTTAAAACGTTTGAATTTCTCCTAAAATAAGGCTTTACAATTCTCTCTTTGCCCTGGAAGTTTTTCTTCTACAAACTTTTTTGTTGTTGCACAATTGTCATTTGGATTTCAGTCATCAGTAGGCGTCCTTTTATTCAACAAAGTCAGAATTTGTAGGGGGTCATCTACCATATGATCAATGCATTTCTAAGAAGATGGCATATTTGTTTATAAATGTATGTATCTGCAGGCTGCAGAAGTCCACATTGCTAATATTAAAGCCTCGTTGTATTTCCCTATCAGATAAATGAGGTTTAATGTTTAGCAAAATGTGCCTCTTGGGTCAGAAAGAATGAAAGCACTGCTGGAATAATCAACATTTGCTAAGCCACAGATTTGGCTGCGATACATCCCTGCTTTATATCTCTGAGGAAAAAACACGCACAGTTTGAAATAATAGAAGTTTAATTACACAAATTCTGTTAGTTCATTAATAATATTCTTTGTGTGTAAATGTCTTTGCTATGTGGTTGAAGTAATTAATTTCTCACACAGATTTTTTTTAAGAACACTAATATGAACCTGCTCGCTACATCTTACAAAATAAATGGATTCTTTTCAACAAACATCACAACATCATGGCCTTTTGGTTGTTTCTTTTTACTCCTGCTTGTGCTATTATAGTGTTGAACTGGGGGGAAATTGGGAGGTGGGGAGGGTCAGGTTCACTGTTGCATATTCAAACACACCAAAACACAAGTGCAACAAAGGCATGGCTCTGGTTGCTAAGGTATTGCTTATTTTCATGTATCTTGCATTGAAATCCAGTTCTGTACATGCAGGCTTATGAGAGCTGAGTACATTAAGTTTGGGGCTTGTATAGTGTGGATTTAGTGTAATTACAATGATAGTACAATATAGCTATAATAAGATATATTTTCACAAAAAAACACTATACAGATAAATGTTTCCGCTTGTTACAGTCTTTTACATTATACACATACACAAGTATATAGTTTTCAATGTACCATTCAGAGCAATGTATGCCAAATGGACCAGTTTAAAATAATATTAAAAAAAAAAAAACTTATCCAAGTGCAGTCTTAAGTGCAGTTATTGCATCAGTCCCATCTCACTGGGTTCAGCTGTCAGGTGTCTGTGCCATCCTGTGCTGTCTGCGGGTCAGCACTGGCTGCTTTCAGTAGTCTGCCCACACTTTGTTTTATGTTCTTCAGTCAATGAGATATCGTATCTCAGCTTTATAATGTGGTCTCACTGCTCATGTCACGAGGCCGGTGGTGGTCGATGTCTGAATCGTAATCTGACTCCATCTCGATCTTGACCTGGGGCACCGGGCACGGCATTCCTCGGCCCATGGTCATGGTAGGAGACGACGGACAGGAGATCTTCAAATGGAGGGTGATGCTGAGAAGGGCAAGGTCCAGTTACCATATACACCAGGTACCATACACACCCATAGCCAAAGACACAGTGGTTCTACCAGGAGGGGAGGGGAATGCGGCGGAGCTTGGCTGTGAGACACGATGACCACAGCAGTTTAGGTTAGCGCTTAGCTAATGAGTGAAATCAGTCCCAAAATATTGGCTGTTACTCCCACAGGGAGTCAGCAGACTAGCTGATGGTTCCCACACTGTGAATGACATAGATTGTACCTACATTATGGTCTGAAAAGTAAAGTGCACTAAACTCGTATTCCTTCTAATGGCCAGCAGGGGGAGCCCTGGTTTCTAAATCAAGTCTAGTTGAAAAGACGTCTATCGGAAATGGTGAATATGCTCATCTGGCTTTCATAAGAGGACTTCATTAACCACTGGGTGATGCTATAGTGGCCATACCCATCTTTTATATGCAGCCTGTGGTTTAAATTAACCGTGAGCAAACATAGCTTGAATTTACTTAGTACATTGGGATAACATAATAATAAAACATCCTACTTTTTTAAATGTTAATTTGCAATGATAAATTTGTTTTGACTCTGATATCAAGTGTTTTTGAGTTTTTGATTGTGCACTATTATGCATGCCTGCCTTTTGCATTATGTCAGCACATGTTGTAAAGACTTGTATAAAAACTCGTACAATAGCTTCAAAGGTCCGGCGATCAATGCATTTTGTGTTTGTATAAATCCTTCAATAAAATAACGTCACAGAGAATTTATGTACTTCCACAGATGGCTGCATGTCAGCAAACAAGTTCACAGTGTCAATTCCAAACCATGCCTCTTATAAAGCAATGCAGACATGATGGGAACATTTGAATCAGCCACAAAGGGCAAACAGCCCAAAGTTACAGTATTTATGGTTAAATAATGTAAATGGCACTTTCAGTGCAAAATGTATGCAATGAAACTGCTGTGAGGGACGGAGGCAGGTTGGAGAGCTGGGGTCTGACTACATATCACATGCAGGTGTGACTGATGTACTAAAGAGATTCAGCACATGGAAGAAAAAGAAACAACCAAATGATGTATGCTGCACATGGATGATTATACAGTTGTGTATACAGAGGCCTAAAATATATCCTCTCTATGTGCTAGATACACACAGGACTAAAAAGACCACACAATAACTTCTTCATCTAGTTTGACTGCTCGCACACTATGTTAAACTACACAACGAACACTGAAGCCTTTGAGATACATAGCAAAACTATACTGCTTTAAGGTGAGCAGTGAAGAGTAACAACATGCTGAGTTGTGTGCAGAGGGCAGCTCAGACACAGGCTGTCAGATATTTAAAACATTACACTGTTCAGCACAACATCTGCATTGCCTTAAAGTGCATGGAGAGGAGACCGAACTCAAACATGACACATGATGACAACCATGGGACTGCACATATGTATGTTTACAAAACATACAGAGGAAAATACAGAAGTAATGAATTGAATTTCTTGTTAAAATGCAGGCCATTTAAAGGGTGTGCAATAAGTCGGTGTATCAATATAAAAAGGCCATGTGATCAATTTTCATGCAACCGAGTCTATCCAAGTATTTGCCAGTTTCCTGTTTAGTTTGATGAGCCATTCAGTTAAAGTTTCTTATTTTTTTTATTTTTTCTTATTGTTCCAGTTCACCCAAACTGCACAAACATGCAATTCCCTCTAGTGGTAATGAGCTATACAGAAATCAGTGTAACAAATACATTTTTTTGCAGGTACATTCCACCCAAGAAATATTCTCTGCAAAAAAGAGGGGGGTGAGATTAATATAGCTTTAAATCAAAGGAGCTTACCAACTGGTAAAGTTGGAGCTACTTTTAATTATTTTTGAACAACTGCATATCTTAATTTATAGTAACACATCAAAGGGTATTTGTCAGCTATATTTTCTTTTTATAATCTGAACCTGAAAATTAACAAATGCTTCTAAACAAAGTACATTACAAACCTTTGAGATGTTGTGGACAAAAATACTATAAGTTCTTCAAAATTGTGCTTATATGCAGGATTTAAACAGTGTGTGAAATTATGCTGAATGCATTTTCCTAGTTTGGACTGTTTTATGTCTTATGCTACATCACTGACCGAGTATCACTGATCCTTATGTATATTTTGTGAACTGACCCTTTAACTGTGCACTTTGACATATATATATATATATGTGTGTGTGTTAAAGAGCCCTGCGTGTGGCTGCAGCCTGGCAGTATGCTCCCCACTGAGTCTGTGTGACATCAGGATAGACGAGGTCTTTGTAGGGGATGTGCAGTTTGAGAACACAGTACCTTCGATCCAAGTCTGACTCAGAGCTGGGTGAGTGGTTCGCGTAGCCGTGGTACTTGTCCTGCAAGCAAACATGCAAACACGTACACACACAGTACAGACGGTGCGCTTCACACACTTATGTCATGGTTTGTCAGTCCTGTAGGGGGCAGCAAAAGCTTGAGTTTCTCACCTCCTCCTCACTGTCATCAGGTTTGGGCTTCTTCTTCTCTTTCTCCTTCTCCTTCTCCTTTCCCTTCTTCTTGTCATCATCCTTCTTCTTCTTCTCTTTTTCAGGCAGGAGGTCATCCAGCCACGCCAAGTCGTGCTGGGAGAAGACCATGTCCAGCATCTTTCTGACCACCATCAGACCCAGGATCTGGTGTTTGACACAGAGACAGACCAACACAGAGATCTTGTTTCAGCTCCTGGTAACATTCATCTCATATATGAGTTATGCTGTGAATATGATTTTCTGGATGCCATGTATAGGTGATGTTAATGGGAATCACTGGTTGACACAGTAAAATCAGAGCAGTATTTGCATACTTTAAAAACACCATTAAAACTATCGCTTTTACATATTCTGCATATTTACAGCTTCTATGTGTGGAAAAGATTCATGTACAGGGTGGGCCATTTATTTGGATACACCGTAATAACATGGGAATGGTTGGTGATATTAAAGTCCTGTTTGTGGCACATTAGTATATGTGAGGGGGCAAAGTCCTCAAGATGGGTGGTGACCATGGTGG